GTATGTACGAATCAACAATATTATAAATAATAAAATAACAATAAAATAACAAATAAAATAAGAAGTTAGAAAAACGAGGATCACTTTAGTTCATCTTTGTTTCTTGTATCTCTGAGAAGATTCTTCCATAGAATTCAACCATAGTTCTAAATCTTTGGTCATTTCGGGACATTGCGCGTTTGGCTCGACTTGAGCTATTATTTCAGGGACTGGAACTTTCAGACCTGTTGTCGTTTGTTTGCTAAAAATGACCGCGCGAACGAAACCGTCCGTCAAACTAATAAATTCGTGCTCCAAGTAGAAATTCTTATCATCCCAATAAATCAGCTGTAAAATCAAACAAAAATTCATTCGACAAATAATATTTATGTAATACTGTACGATACGATTGACATTTAATATATAACGAGCAATTAAGATTTATCAAAGATAACTTATCTCACCTTCGTGGTCACTTTATACAGAGTGAAAATAGGAATGGCTCGACGATATCGAACCAACGATGCTCCTTGCACCGCGCTTCCACCTTTCTTCGTGATCGCTGAATATATTCCAGATCGATCGTAATAATGGAAACGCGCGAAATCCAATTCGCGAAGGTATCTCGCGTTGTTCATGTGTTTAAAGAACAAATCCACATCTTGCGTAATGCATATACCTGAAAAAAGAAAAAAAAAAAAAAAGAGGAAGATAAAAAGACAAAAGTTTTAATTTCTTCTTTTTCGCATTATTTGTCATCGATAAAAATAAATAAGTATTTAAATGTATTTGAATATCAAACTATTTAAATAATTAAATATGAAAAAAATGGAATATTTTTCTTCATTTTAATACACGCGTCGAATTCAACGTCTTTCTATTCTAGATATTATAATTTCAAATCATTTCTTTGATTATTATAGAAATTTTTTCGTCATTCTCCGATTCTGCTTGTTACGGTTTCATTTTTTCATTCATATTCCGTACACGAGTGAAACGAAAAGATTAATACGTCTGTGAATATATATTCACTTATGAATAAGTTTGGCCGGTAATCGAAGAATCATTTAAAAGTTGCTTGCCTTTGAATTCTTTTGAAACAAGGCCAAAAATGTTCTTCCGCTTTTACAAGTTCGTTTGCCCGAAATTATTCCTTGATGTCGATAATAATTACGGTACGAATGTAAATCAAGCTTTAAATCATGTCACCTAAACCCGGAAATGATTTACTTAAAATTCATACATCGATTACATTAATTAACGCCAAATCCAATTCTTTTATCGTTAAAAAGAAATCCAAATATTATATTATATATATATATAAATAATATAATATAATATAACGTAATATAATTATACGCGTGAATTTCATAGAAACAGAATTATAAGAATTGTAAGAATTGTAGCGGAATTGTTATCAAATTTATAAAAAAAACATCGAATGTCATCGTTAAGTGAATGGTCAATATCGCGTCTAAACTATAGTAATTACAAGAAAAAATATATAAACGCATAAATCGTAAAATCGCTACGTAAAATTATATTACGGAAAAAGAAAAAAATCTGGATTATTGAGATTTAAAAAATGTTAAATAATTATTACCGTAAATGGTAGTCGTGTCAAAAATCTTCTTTTTCTTCTGAAACAATCTGCCGGTAAGGATGGTAAACGCGATCCTGAGGAAATAATTTACATCGAAGAGCATGTAGAGAACGAGAGCGATCGTGAGCAAGCAGGCACATGCCATTTTTCAGTTATATATGTTATATGTTTCAGTTCTGTAATAAAATGAAGCGAGAAAGGAGAGCAAGAATGTTTGACGTTCACGAAACCACAGTCCGAAGAACACTACATGCTTTCAGTTACCGTGAAATTTTAAACTGAGAGGTCGCTTCTTATGCAGTGAAGTATGGCACTAACCGGTTTCTCCTATATCCGGTTAGACCTATGTTCCGTTGTAATAGGAACGATACTTGTTCCATTCGTATAACTACGAAAACGTATAATACGCGGTCGATAAATTGTAATAATTCAATACGGTCTATTTAAATGATCATGATATCTTCATATGGTAAATTTTGATCATTACGATAAGGGAGGAGATTGTTATACAGAGAGAGAATGTATTCGATCGATTGTTTGGAGCGAACGATGGGTGAGTTGGTGAAATATATATTGATGATATGATATATTACGTGAATATATAAATATATCAAGAATTATATTGTACAAATGTTACACAAACTAGACTAGCATATGTGAAAGAGGATAAAAATCCTTTCAAAACACTAGTCATCATAATTCTCGATTGATTAATTGAAAAAAAAAAAAAAAAAAAAAGAAAAAAAGAAAAGTAGATAAGATATCAAAAAATATATGTTTTTCGTTACATGTACGATCATATATAATTATTCGGAAACATTTTGATATGTGAATATTTTTACAAACTAAATCGGGTTATGATGAATTTTTCATGAAATATTTATACATTGTCAAATTACGCATGCATTTCGAACGTTTTCGAAAATCACATCATTATTCGATTCGATTTTTTGATTCCGAAAATATTTTATCGATTATTTTTATCTTTGTTTTTAAAACAAGTAGTAGAGAAAAATAAAATAAATGTGTTTTTTCAACGAGAAAACATTAGCCATCTAAGGAATATTTATTCTTACTCCTGGATAATGGTATCTTTAACGACATGATCAACACAATATTATCTGACAAAAAAAATGGCACTATTATCATCTAGAAGTATAATAACGTGTCCACGTATATTCACGTGGACAATTCTATTTAGCTGTGTTTCGAGACTCGCTACGTCGTCGGCTACTTTTCAATGACGAAACTACGAATACCGATTTACTTCGAAATTTAAGTTGAAATACATCTTAATGAATTTGTTCGTCGCAAATGGCGTCGGTAACAAGGATTGTACACGATTTAAAAAAAAAAAAATTAATCACGCGAGAGTCGCATACAATTTCTTTTTTTTAACTCCCGATTGCCGGACGTCCTATCATAGAAAATAATAATAATAATAAATGCAGTAATGATAACAAATGGAATTTAAAATTACAACGACGCGTGGCAAATCGATGCCACGGTCTAATTATTCAATAATCGTAAAAAAGCGAATATCCATCACGTATTGTAAAGGCACCTGTAACACGTTATAGAAGTACTCTTGTCTCTTAACGCGCTCGTAAATATATAAATTGTTATTATTTATTTATCATCGACGAAACAGCTCCTCAGGAGAATTCTATTAATTTATTCTCTCTCTATCTCTCCCTTTCCCCTCTCCCTGTCTCTCGCGGAAATCATTACCGGCGCCAATCGCTATATGTACAATATATATACTATATAATATATATATATAATAAAAAATGTAAATAACGCCTCGCGTCTTGCGATTACTTTCAACGAAGAATATTTAACAAATGGTGCTCTTTTTTAATTTTGGAAGCTCCTTTGGATTACACATTGGTTTCGTATCTGTAACCTTGCTCGACGCCCATCTAGCAGTCCGTTCCACGGTTGCTGGACAGATTTCTCGTAAAGCATCTTGAAAATCACGGAATCTATCAAATAAATTCTGTAAATAAATTCTTCCCTCTCGTGCGAGGAATGATCACACCTTATAGTCCGATAGTCGCGCATATACTATTGCCTATTAAAATAATTTCACATCTCTGTCTAGCCTTTGTACTCTTAAATTTTTCCTTCTTTATCGTTCTTCCAAAACAATTTCCTTCCTTTTTTTTGACATCGGCTACGTATACATGTATATATATATGTACGTATGTATACATATTTATACACATCGGAACCACGCTAAACCAAATAACGTTAAACCAAATTTTCAGGCGGACAAATGGCAATATCAAGCTGCCCGATCGCCCCTCTTGACCATCTGATGTCTGAACCATCGGACTCGCAATCGATAAAAGCTTCAAACTTAACGATCACCCGTAATTTGTTCACCTAAAAAATTGATTCGAAGCTATCTCGTATGCCGTTCGAGCGAGGAAACGGCTACGTGGAAGATTTCATTAACGCCTTCACGATCAACGAAAGCCAGCATCGATCGAATCTTCGACCTTAGACGGCCGTAGTCGCGTACACGGAAGTGGAGACGGCGCCATTTGTGGTGGACGCCGCGTCCTCCTTTTGTCAGCAATGCGTGGTCACCGCGGCACTCTGGCGAAGAAGCGCCGAAGAGATTTCGTTACTCTCCAACCACCTGGCGACTTCCGGTGGCATTTGCGGTCTCACGTTGTGTATCTGTAATTTAAACTTTATCTTACGTTTCCATCGATTTCACGTTACACGCTATTAATTGCACGCCCATAAATTATTAATTATGCCATCTTTCACTGACCTTTCATAGATACAGACCTGTCACAAATTTTTTATCTCGTTGAAATGATGCGAATATTTTTTTACCTGTGGTGCACCCGCCTCTACGTTTTGCTTCACGCCCCGTTCCATTAGAGTACTGATGATAGTCTCGGCGTTACAGTCCAAAAGTTTCTGCCTGCATATAGCGATAGCCCTGACGAATTCATCGCTGGTCGTAATGAATCGATGCTCCATGAATATGGATTTTTCATCCCAATATATAATCTATGAAAGGTAACGATTTCACAATGTTCACAATATGAGATAAATACGATATGTACTGTTCGTGTGTACTAAGAGAGCGTATACGGAACTGTAGAACAATTCTAAAATCTATCGGACGAAAAGAGTCAACAAATTAATTTCCATTGTGGTCTTATCGGTTTTCTTGCAGTTATCGAGAGCAAACAGTTGGTAATCGGCCGTGATACTCTTTACAAAAGAATCGTGAAAATTTTTTTGTACGGATTCTCGTGACGATCGGTCAAAGTACAACGAACGAACGTGAGTCCATAATACGATTTCACGTGGACTCGCATACCTTAGAAGTTATTTTGAAGATGGTGAAAGGTTTCAGGAAACGACGATAACGTATCGTCGCCGCTCCTTGCACGACGCCCGACCCTTGCGAGCATATCTCGCGATATAGGTTCGTCCTTTCGTAAAAATCCGCCCTGGCGAAATCGAGCTCGCGAAGATATCTCGCGTTGTTCATGTGGGAGAGCAATGGATCCACGTCCGTCGTGGTGCAGATACCTGTGTGAAAAACAAATATTAATTTTCACGGCCGTGAAAAAATAATGGAATTAAATAAACTCTCTCGTCCTTTCTCGTTCGACATCATTGTAAATATTTAAAAAATGGCATATCAAACAAAAATTGCATAATCAAGGAATATTTGTAATGCAAGAATTTTATTTAATAAGTTGGTTTTATCTTTGTGCATTAAATGGGAAACCAAATAGATAGGATGAATAAGAAATACAGGAAATATTACTTTTACGTTTCGAATTATCCATTGGTAACAGAAAAAAAAAAAAAAAATTGAAATAAATGTAAGCGGTTTCCTCGTCCAAGGACTGATAAATAAAAGATCAGTTCTGGATACCGAGCATACTAAGTATCTCTATCGAGGAATTACTTATTCCTCGTTGATGTTGCGTGTCATGTAAGCCGTGACAATGATTATGTCTTTTCGTATGAGAAATTTCTAAGAATCGGACCACCGTGTTGTCGGGTTATCGAAAGGTCGCATCGAGATATCTAAACACCGTTCAAATTTCGAATATTTCCCGTAATATTTTCGTATAGAATTTCACAGCACCGCGGTACACAATCAATACGAGGACGGATTTGTTACGAGCAACCGACCTGCCAACTGATCGCGCATGGTAGGTCAAGGTTTACGCGAATGAGCTCGAGATTAGTCGGTAAATTGTAAGGATTCTGGGCTTACGTAGTTGACAGTTGCGTACGATGCATTTTCATGGGATCTTTAATAATAACTAATAATTTTTTTTTTTTTTTTTTTTTTTT